AGTCTTTACCATACCAAAAAAACACCAAACCCATTGCCATTAAGTCGATTCTGACTCATGTGACCCTGTAGGACAGAGTAGAACTGCCCCATAGGGTTTCTAAGTAGCGGCTGGTAGAGTTGAACTGCTGACCTTTTGATTAGTAGCCGTAGCTCTAAACCACTGCGCCAGGGCTCCATAGTTTATTTTATATCTTATTTGTCAACTGACATTTTTTCATGGCTGTGGTACTGCTTCAACCTTTCCATTCTGTTTTATATGGCATCTCTATACTTAACCAGCTTCTGATACTTCCTTCTTAAACTTTATTCTTTTTTCCACTTTTTATCGATGTTTTTTTTCTTGGCCTTACAACTTTTATTTGATATAAATTTTTATATAGCTAATAACAATAAGCCTTCACCATGGACACTTAAAATCCTAGAAAAATAAAATGTATCATTGATGTTCACCGTCTTCTCCCTTTACAGTGAACTTACTGTGTCAAGGACCGTACTGAGAGGCAGCAAATGGACTTGCATAGAATCTTTCACTGAATGAAGCCACTTTCATTGAAATATTTGACAGTATTTAATCCTTTGTAAAGTGATGTGGCTTATTAGCCATTTTCCTTTCTATTTGTACAGTAGGCCTTGGAGTGGCAAATTCCTAGTCCCTGCTACCTCTTTTCTTGTTTCTCCAACCACATTCACGTCTTAGGATGATTCAGGGACCTGGGAGGTCCTACCATGCATTTCTTTTTCTATTTACTATCAAATTTTAAATTCGTCAGGTTCTTATTTTTCTTAGGAATGAAGAATAGAGAGTTTGGAGGTAAAAATTTATTCTCAGTATTCGTGGTATTTATGTTCTAGAAAGTCCCCACAAATACTCCATTATCAGATATTGACCAAGCTTTGTTCATCCTCATCTGGAAAGCTTTTGCTCTTCTGTGCAAGCACACTCTTTGAATGACCACGAAAGCAGCGCGAGTATTTTTATTGAGTAGGCGGATTTGCAAATAAGGAGTCCGTGAATAATGAGGATCTACTGTATATAGATACAGCTATTAGGATATATGGAGCCCTGGTGGCGCAGTGGTTAAGAGCTTGGCTGCTAACCAAAACGTCAGCAGTTTGAATCCACCAGGCACTTCTTGGAAACACTGTGGGGCAGTTCTATAATGTCCTATACGGTCACTATGAGTTGGAATCAACTCAACGGCCACGGTTTTTCGTTTATAGAGATATATATATGTGTGTGTGTGTGTGTATACATAGATGAGTGTGTATGTAACGTATCTGTCAGTTTGTTGTACTGTGGGGGCTTGTGTGTTGCTGTGATGCTGGAAGCTAAGCTATTCAAGTACCAGCAGGGTCACTGATGGTGGACAAGTTTCAGCTGAGGTTCCAGACTAAGACAGACTAGGAAGAAGGACCCGGCAGTCTACTTCTGAAAAGAATTAGCCAGTGAAAACCTTATGAATAGCAGCGGAACATTGTCTGATATAGTGAGCCCCTCAGGTTGGAAGGCACTCAAAATTTGACTGGGAAAGAGCTGCCTCCCCAAAGTAGAGGCGACCTTAATAACATGGATGGAGTCAGTCTTTCGGGACCTTCATTTACTGATGTGGCATGACTCAAAATGAGAAGAAACAGCTGCAAACATCCATTAATAATCGGAATGTGAAACATATGAAGTTTATGAATCTAGGAAAATTGGAAATCGTCAAAAATGAAATGGAACGTGTAAAGATCAATATCCTAGGCATTAGTGAGCTGAAATGGACTGGTATTGGCCATTTTGAATCAGACAATCATATGATCTACTATGCTGGGAATGACAACTTGAAGAGGAATGACATTCCATTCATTGTCAAAAAGAACACTTCAAGATCTATCCTGAAGTACAGTGCTGTCAGTGATAGGATAATATCCATATGCCTACAAGGAAGATCAGTTAATACGACTATTATTCAAATATATGAACCATCCATTAAGGACAACGGTGAAGAAATTGAAGATTTTTACCAGCTTCTGCAGTCTGAAATTGATTGAACACGCAGTCAGGATGCATTGATAATTACTGGTGATTGGAATGCAAAAGTTGGAAACGAAGAAGGAACAGTAGTTGGAAAATATGGCTTTGGTGATAGAAGCAGTACTGGAGATCACATGGTAGAATTTTGCAAGACCAACAACTTCTTCATTGCAAATACCTTTTTTCACCAACGTAAACAGTAACTATACACATGGACATCGCCAGATGGAATACACAGGAATCAGATCAACTACATTTGTGGAAAAAGACGATGGAAAAGCTCAATATCATCAGTCAGATCAAGGCCAGGGGCCAACTGCGGAACACACCATCAGTTGCTCATATGCAAGTTCAAATTGAAACTGAAGAAAATTAGAACAAAGTATGACCTTGAGTATATCCTGCCTGAATTTAGAGACCATCTCAAGAATAGATCTGACATGTTGAACACTAATGACCAAAGACCAGATAAATTGTGGAATGACATCAAGGACGTTATACATGAAGGACGCAAGAGGTCTTTTAAAAAGACAGGAAAGAAAGAAAAGACCAAAACGGATGTCAGAGGAGACTCTGAAACTGGCTCTCGAACGTCGAGTAGCTAAAGCCAAAGGGAGAAATAATGAAGTAAAAGAGCTGAAAGAAGATTTCAAAGGGCAGCTCGAGAAGACAAAGTAAACTATTATAATGACATGTGCAAAGACCTGGAGATAGAAAACCAAAAGGGAAGAACATGCTCCATATTTATTTCTCAAGCTGAAAGAACTAAAGAAAAAATTCAGGCCTCGAGTTGCAATACTGAAAGATTCTAAGGGGAAAATATTAGACACCACAGTAAGCATCAAAAGAAGATGGAAGGAATTCACAGAGTCACTGTACCAAAAAGAATTGGTTTCGACATTCAACCATTTCAAGAGGTAGCATATGATCAGAAACTGATGGTACTGAAGGAAGAAGTCTAAGCTGCACTGAAGGCATTGGCGAAAAACAAGGCTTCAGAAATTGACGGAATACCAATTGAGATGTTTCAGCAAATGGATGCAGTGCTGGGAGTGCTCACTCGTCTATTCCAAGAAATTTGGAAGACAGCTACCTGGCCAACTAACTGGAAGAGATCCATATTTATGCCTATTTCCAAGAAAGGAGATCCAACCGAATGTGGAAATTAGTGAACAACATCATAATATCGCACACAAGTAAAATTTTGCTGAAGATCATTCAAAAGTGGCTGCAGAAGTATATTGACAGGGAACTGCCAGAAGCTCAAGCCAGATTCAGAAGAGGACATGGAACCAGAGATACCATTGCTGATGTCAAATGGATCCTGGCTGAAAGCAGAGAATACCAGAAAGATGTTTACCTGTCTTCTATTGACTGTGCAAAGGCATTTGACTGTGCAGACCATAAGAAATTATGGATAACATTGCGAAGAATGGAAATTATGGAATACTTAATTGTGCTCATGAAGAACCTGTACATAGACCAAGAGGCAGTCATTCTAACAAAACAAGGGGATACTGGGTGGTTTAAAATCAGGAAAGGTGTGCATCAGGGTTGTATCCTTTCACCATACATATTCAGTCTGTCTGTGAGCAAATAATCCAAGAAGCTAGACTCTACAAAGAAGAACATGGCATCAAGATTGGAGGGAAGACTCATTAACAACCTGTGTTATGCAGATGACACAACATTGCTGAAAGTGAAGAGAACTTGGAAGTGCGTACTGATGAAGATCAAAGCCTACAGCATTCAGTATGGATTATACCTCGACATAAAATAAAAATCCTAACAACCAGACCAATTGCATGGTTGATCAGTTTCAAACTGCAGAAGTTGGTAAAAATCTTCAATTTCTTCATCTTTGGCATTAGTGGTTAGTGTGTAAATTTTAGTAACATCATATTAACTGGTCTTCCTTGTAGGGGCATGGATATTGTCCTATCACTGACAGTGTTGCACTTCAGGATAGATCTTGAAATGTTCTTTTTGACAATGGATGTAATGCCGTTCTCTTTACTTTGTTACTCCCACCATAGTAGACCATATGTCTGTCCGATTCACAATGACCAATACCAGTCCTTTTCAGCTCTTTACTGCCTATGGTATCGATCTTTATGTGTTCCATTTCCTTTTTGACGATTTCCAATTTTCCTAGATTCACACTTCATACATTCCACATTCTGATTTTTAATGGATGTTTGCAGCTGTTTCTTCTCATTTTAAGTCATGCCACATCAGCAAATGAAGGTCCATAAAGCTTGACTCTACCCACGTTATTAAGGCCGACTCAACTCTGAGGGGGCAGCTCTTCCCTAGTCGTATTTTGAGTGCCTTCCAACTTTAGGGGCTCGTCTTCTGGCGGTGTATCAGACAGTGTTTCACTGTTATTCATCAGGTTTTCACTGGCCAGTTTATTAAAAGTAGATCGCCAGGTCGTTCTTTCTAGTCTGTCTTAGTCTGCGCGCTCCCTTTAAACCTGTGCACCGTGGGTGACCCTGCTGGTATTTGAAATAATGGTGGCTTAGATTTCCACCGTCACAGCATGCAAGCCACCGCGGTACAGATGAGTGACGGAATTTTTTTTTAAGTTAACCGAATTTTTAAATTTTAAAGTTAACCTGAGTCAATCCTTCTGTTTACTAATAGCGGTAGCTCATCTGTATCTGTTGGGGGAGGCAAAATAATGAACTGCTACATGATATTCCATGTCAGATTACATGACATCCTCTATTTATAAATGTCCTAAATGTAGATTAAAAGAAACAAGAAATAAATCATTCACAGATGGGTCCAGGGAAACTTGCTTTATTTAACGAAGAAACCTCCGCACCATGAAAGATAATTTTTTCTTGTATTTCTCATGGCAAAAGCTTCATTTCATGAAAAGTCACATAATACTTTAATAAAGAAGGGATTTTTCTAGACTTTTGTAACTAAGCTTTTATAACTTTTTTATAAGTTTTAAAGAACACTTTGAAAATTTTGTCTCCCCTTCCTATATTCTGCATCTTGTTTTATTTTTAATTAACGTATTAAAACCTGTTCATTGTTTTTTGTCTCTGAGTTAATTACGTCAGCTAAATCTTTCTAAATGATGTTAAAGTAAGTACGGATATGGGCTCCAATGTTCCTTCTTCAGCATCGTGCTATTACAGGTCTCCAATTTTTGTGTCTTTTATTGTTAGATCACATGTCGGAGTGTCTTGTCATTTTATTAAATAACAACCTCAGATATTCTTACAAACTTGAAATTTAAGTGGAAATAAGCATTAATCAGGGATGATACTCGGGAAGGTCTGTAGAGTCAGTTATGATGACAGAAGTTTGTCAGATGTTCCTGCATGCTCCTTTTCCCTTACATAAATGTGCTTTTGGAGCCCTGGTGGTTCAGTGGTTAAGCACTCAGCTGTTAACCAAAAGGTCAGCAGTTTAAAGTTACCAGGAGCTCCGTAGGAGAAGAGACATGGTGATGTGCTTCTGGAAAGATTACAGCCTAGGAAGCCCTATGGGGCCCTTCTGCTCCATCATACAGGATTGCTATGAGTTGGAATCCACTTGATGACACAGAGCAACTGTGCTTGAGTGAAAGCTCATTTATTCAGAAATGATCAAATAGTTCCTTGTTCAGCACTTTAGGGAAAGTTTTGGTTGCAAGCCTAGTAACAATAACACTGCACAAAACTACAGGTACTTGTTCGATAAGAGGCCTGGAGATATCTCCTTTACTGACTGTGTCGCATGTGCCACTTTTTATTTTACGAAAATATTTTTGTCCATCTTACTTGGAAGCTCTTTTCAAGTGTACCGTCTTTCAGAGTGGATGACCCATGGGATTTCTTTCTATTGTATTAGTCCTTTATTGCTGTGTAACAAATTACCTTTGAAGATAGTAGCTTAAAACAATAAACATTTATTATCTTACAGTTCCTGTGGGTCAGGTATTTAGTAGTGGCTAAGCCGGGAGTTGCTGGCTCCGAGTCTGTCATGAAGTTGCTGTCGAGATGTCATCTGAAGGCATTACCAGGGCTGGAGGACCTGCTTCCTGTTTCGTTCACTCGCATAGTTACTGGCAGGAGGTCTGAGTTTCTCTCTGGCTGTTAATAGAAGTCCTCTCCATGGGGCTGATTGAGTTTGTCACATATGACAAATGGCTTTCTCCAGAGGGGGGGATCCGAGAGAGAAGACAGAAGCCGCAATCTCTTTTGTGACCTGTCCTCAGAAGTCACACTCTATCACTTTTTAACATCCTATTTGTCATAGAAGTCTGTCCTGTTCTGTGCAGTGGGGACTCTACACAAAGACATGAATACTAGGATTGGGGTATGACTGGGGGCCAGCCTATTATACTTAGTAAAAATTTTTTGTTGAACTTCGTTAGAGTGATTTTTAAAAATTTTTTTTCTTGAACATTAAGTAAGACTCTTGTTTTTAATTTTAAATATAGTTATTTTATTTATCCTCATATTATTTAGTCTGTTTTGACATTTGATTTATGTACATATTTTGTCTTTTAACATATTAGCTCCCCCCTTCCTCACCGCCCCCCCCGCTTCTGTTCATTGTATGGGTACCTTTGTGTTAGAGATTCTACATTTTCGTAGGGAGTGAGTATCAGGTTGAACTTGAGGAGTGTCCGTGTTTTAAAAGTTGGAACAGATCTCTTCTATGAGTAATTTTAGAGGCATTATAAAGTATTCTTAGCTCCTGCTTGTCAGCAATGTAGAAAAATGAGTAAGTTAGTCAGAACTATTTATAGATATTTTTCTCTAAAATTAGAAAGATGTCATTGTCCTTGTTTCCCAAAGTGATATTTAGCAGTGATAATAACAGAAATAGCTAATGCTTCCGTAACACTTATGTGCTGTCACTCCTCAGAGTGCTTTGCACATATGAACTCACTTCATCTGTACGGCTGCACTCTGAGGTAGGTACGGCTGTGACACTTTTCACAAATGAAGATCCTGATGCAAAGTGGCACCAAATGGCTTGTCCAAGGTCGCACATGAAGTCAATGGCAGGGCTGAAATTTAAACCAAGCAGTCTGACTCCGGAGTCTGTTCTCTGTGCTGACTGTAAGTGCTGTATCTTTATCCTGTAGAAATATGAGTGACACATAATGTGACAACATCATGTTCAAGCCATGGAGGCAGCCATGGAGACCAGTCAAGATAAGCTTGTTTTATGTCTGTTTCTCTTTAAGGACACCTCATATAATATAGATTGTTGTTTCATTAATACTGAACTCACAACCAATAGTCTATGACTCCTGTCTGAATGAAGCTTTTCTATCACACCCATTTTCTCTGTAAGCCACATCACAGCCTTCTTGTGCTTAGAACACTCGACATCATTTCAGCTATATGCTTGGGAATCATTTTAAACAGCAAGATCACCAGCACAAGGCACAAAATGCAAAACATGGCAATAAATAGCTGGTGAAAAGGACATTTGTTTGCAGTATAAGAGCTGAAATGAGAAGGCAGAGCACAGCTTTGTTTCCCGTCAGCTCGGAATTTGCGCATCAGCCAAGGTCTTAGTTTCTTAGGACTACCATGATAAAATATCACAAAGTTGGTTGTTTTAAAGAACAGAAACGTATTTTCTCACAGTTGTAAAGGATAGAAGTCCAGATTCAGGGCATCAGCAGGGCTGTGCTCTCTGTTGGCTCTAGGGGAAGAGCCTTCCTTGTGGGTAGCCCCAGGTGTCTCTTAGCATTTCTCGGCTGGTAAATGAATCCTTACATGATCTTCTCTTGTGTGTGACTCTCTTTCTGTGTCTGTTCTCCCCTTTTATAAGGTACCACTCAGAAGGGATTAGGACTAGGATCCACCCTATCCTGTTTGACTTAAAACTGATTACAAAAGAAAAACCCAGTTTTCAAGCAGGGTGGTATTCCTAGGTACATGTGTTTGGGTTTTGACATATCTCTTTGGAGGACATAATTCAGTCCATAATAGACGTCTCACATTTTTTGCCATTCCGTGCATGTCTGCAGATAGCTGTGAAAACACTGCACATATTGATGTTGGGGTTACAGGTACATTTTAGCAAGTAAGCAGATGCACAAATATGGAACGCGCAAATCATGAACACCAACTGTTTTCACTTTGCCGTTTTGAACCAAACAAGATGACCAAATTTTGAGCCCTTTTATCATAACGCAGAGCCCACTTAAGAAATTGTCTTTATTAAAATTAATAAACTTTAATTAAATAAGGACTGATTATAATCTTTGCTTTTCGTAGTTACTTCTGAGAGTTCAAATTTCATCAAATATCTGAAGTCTTTACATCAGAGCTGTGACTCCTAGCCTGTTGGTTGGAGCGTGTCTCCAACTGTGAGCTTTGGGTTTATAGCAAAAGGTACCTGTAACTATATAAAATGCCTGGAGGAGATTAGATTCCAGAAAAATAAATAGACTGCAGCCTCCAGGTTGATCCACTGTAGTGCTGGCATTTTTTAATAACAGAAGTAACTTTGCATCTCCATAGTTTTAGACTTAACATTTTATATGGACATTTTAGCTTCTAAATATTATCTAGTACAAAAACAGTGCTTTCTATTTTTCTTAATTCTTAAGATGCAGAGTCCTCATAAAGAGCTAGGAGATATGTGATTGAAGAATTATAGTGATATTTAAATTCTATTTCTGTACTGTACACTGTTAGGCTCTCACTTTGGACTGTGTGTTAGAAGCACCAACTATTAGAGAATATGTTCAATAATATAATCACAAGAATTTCAACAGGTTAAAAAATGTGATTGAGGCAAATTCAAATGGCATCTAATTGTTCTTGTTAATATCTAAAGATATTGTTATTTCATATATACTTATGTTTTATTTCCTTTCTTTTAGGTGTCCTTCATTCAAAATCTCGTATTTTGTGTAGAAAGAGTTTACCGTGTACCTGACTTTGGCATTTGGGAAAGAGGAAGCAAATATAATAATGGCAGTACTGAACTACATTCAAGGTAATTTGCTGATTTCTGAGTGTTTTTTATTATTTTAATGTATGGAATTTGAATATGAATAGAAAATCAAAGTATTAGGTTGGAACTGTGGTTTCTATGTTAATTTTCAACTTTATTTTTTTCAATATAATACAAATGAAATTCAATTAAAATTAAACCTAAGAATCATCTCTCAGTGCCCATAAACTGATGCAGGAAAGGAGCAGGGAGTCTTTCCCCACCTTTCAGTATGTCAATATGTTTATATCAGCTTTTGTCAGCAATCAGTGGCTTGACCTTTCTGCTCATGCAAGTTAATTTCTTTAGCTCTTTTAAATGATGTTATTTGAAATGTCAAGTATATTAAAATTTCCAAACAATGGTTGTGTGTGTATTGCATGGTAAAACTTCTCTTCCTTGTTATAGAGCTGATTTTTATCCTAACTACAGATTCTTCCTGTAAAGCTTAACATTTAATGTCATCTGAAAGAGGTATTCTCAGCATCTCAAGCTGTGGTGTAGTGGGTTTGAATAAGCAGCAATAGTTGGTGATTGATGTTAGTACTTCAGGAAGTTTCATTACTCTTTAGGGTAAGGGAAATAGTGTTAGTGACTGAATGCATCCCTCAATTAGCATTGCATCCTAATTTTATGCCCAAGACACCATCTTTTAAATATAAAATGGGTGTCAAGTAATGGTACCAAAAATAGTGGATTAGGTAACTCAAAGGTCCATTGTTCACAAAACACATCCATACACAACTGGCAAAAACTGTCAGAATCAACTTTTTCAGAACTCTGAAAAATAATCAAAGATTTATACCAACGAAGTTGAAAGACTTACAGTAAACCAACTGAGTAATGTTTATTCAAAAAGAAAAAAGGTGACTGAAACCAAGCAAGTGAGTTTTGTGACATTTTAACTTATCCTGTCTCATTACCCTTTCCCCAGCTTGATGGCAGTCTTAAAGACTACAGCTTGTCTACCCACTGTAGGTTCGCTTTGTCAGAGTGAGCAGAATGGACTTTGTTCTCAAACAGTTGGGGTTGTCTGTTTAGACGTGTCTGGTGGCTCCTTGAAGAGCTTACACAAAGAGCTTCCCTTTATTTCACTTTACTCAGAACTCTCTCTGGCAGAGAAACGGCCATGTAGAGGTCATTCCTTAAAAACGTTTAAAAGCACATGAACCAGTCATTGCAACCTGGGAGAAAGAAGTGATTTGGTTCAAACAACAGATGTGCTGAAAAGTCTGGGAGGAAAAGCTCTGAGGTGAGTTATTGCAGAATAAGGACTTTGGCAGCCTTCCGCATATTCCTAGTAATTTATAAGGTCATACAGATGCCCAAGATGGGGCATATGCTCACGGAAGGCAGTAAGCTCTCACCTCTGGCTGACCTTCAAGCTTTGAGCAAACAAGAAGTAAAAGAGAAGGCAGGGATGTAAAGTGTTCAGCTAAGTGTAGAAGACATGCCCCAGCAAACACACAGAGCCCAAATGCCACTGTTGTAGATTTTTTTAAGCTTCGCTTGTTTAAGGAAATCTATCTCAAATCACTGTCTGACCACTAAGCTAATGGAAGAGTCATGTTAACCACACGTGACAAGGAGTACAGTGTTTACAAAGATAGTGTAGAAGTCACGAAACAGCTACAACCCACAGCAGACAGTAATAACAAACCCTAGAAAGGAAGAATAATCTGATTTCTAGAGTTACCACATTATAATATCCAACATTTCCAGTTTTAAACTAAAAACTATGAAGTATGTAAAGAATCTACAAGTATGGCCCATTCAAAGGAATAAAGAAATTAAAGACTGTTCCTTAGAAAGCCTAGACATTGGAGTTACTAGAGAAAGACTTTAAATCAGCAGTCTTAAATATGCTCAAAGACCTAAAGGAAACCATGGACAGAGAGCTAAAGGACCCAGGAGTATGATGTCCTACCAAAATGAGAATATCAATAATGAAATACAAATAATAGAAAAGAAACAAATAGAAATTCTGGAGCTGAAAAGTGCAAAAACTAAAATGAAAAATTTATTGCAAATGTTCAGTGGTAGATTTGAGCAAGCAGAAGGAAGGATCAGTGAACTTGAAGGTGGATTAAATTATATTATGGAAGCTAAAGAACAGAGATAAAGAATGAAGAAATATGAACAGAGACTCTGAGAAATGTGAAACACCATTAAGCCCACCAACATGAGCAATAAGAGTAGCAGAAGGAGAGGCGAGAGAAAAAAACAAATACTGTTTCAAGAAATAATGGCTGAAATTTTCTCAAATTTATTGAAAAACACTTTCACATGCAAGACACTCAGTAAACTTCAGGTAGGACAAAATCAGATCCACACTGAGGGACATTATAATTAAACTGTTGAAACCAGAGACAGAGAGAATCTTGAAAGCAGCAAGAGAGAAGCAACTTCTCACGTACAAGGGATGCTCAGTTAAGATTTACTATTCTCATCAAAATCGTGAAAACTAGAAAACAGTGGCATGATGTATTTAAAGTGCTGGAAGAAAAATACAAACAAACAAAAAAACCTGTCAACTAAGAATTCTATATCCCGCAAAGCTGTCCTCCAAAAGTGAAGGAAATTTTAAGATATTCCCAGAGAAACAAAAGCTGGGGGAATTTGTCACTAGTGGACCTACCTTACAAGACATGCTAAGGGGAGCCCTTTCAGGCTGAAATGAAAGGACACTGGACAGTAACTTGAAGCCATAGAAACAATAAGAAACACTGTATGAGTTAAAAGACAAGTGCTAAAAATAGTAATTATAAATCAATTTAATGGACACACACATACAAAGATGTAATTGTGAAACAACATAAAGGAGAAGCATAGAGCTTTATAAGAGCAGAGTTTTGGTGCAGTATTGAAGCTAAATTGCTGTTAATTAAAACTAGATTGTTATAAATTTAAGCTATTTGTAATCCTCAGGGTAACCACTAAGAAAATAACTAAAAAATATAGAATAGAATATGATAAGGGAATGAAAATGGTACACTGCAAAAAATCAAACACAAAAACAAAGCAGTGAGGGAAGAGAAAGGGAGAGAAAGGCATAAGATATGTAGAAAACAAGTGACTAAATGATAGAAGTCCTTGCTTATCAGTAGTAATTATATTAAATATAAATACATTTAACTCTCACTTGGAAGACATTGGTAGGTGGAATGAATTTAAAAAAATATATATGAACCATGTATTTACTGTCTATAACAGACTCACTTTAGATCTAAAGGCACAAATAGATTGAAAGTGAAAAATATTCCATGCAAGGATAACCAAGCAAGAGGAAAGTGGCTCTAATAATAGAAAAAAAAAAAATTTTAATTCAAAAATGTTGCAAGAGACAGAGAAAGACATTATATATTGATAAAAGGTTTGATCTATCAAGAAAAGATAAAAATTATAAAGATAAACATACCTAACAACAGAGCCCCCAAGGCAAAAATTGACAGAATTGACAGAATTGAAAGGAGAAATAGAGAATTCTATAATTAGAGTTGGAGACTTCAATGTACCACTTTCAATAATGGATAGAGAGAAGGTCAATGAAGAAACGGAAGACTTGAACACTGCTACAAACATACTACGCTTAACAGACATATGCTGAACACTCCACCCGTTATCAACAGCAGAATGTTCATTTTTTTCAACTGCACAGGGAACATGTCCATTCTTCAGAATAGACATTTGTTAAGCCACAAAAGAAGTTTTAATAAATTTCAAAAGTTTGTAATTGTACTAAATATCTTCTCCAACTACAATGGAATTGAACTAGAAGTCAGTAACAAAAGGAAAATTGGAAAATTCTCAAATATGTGTATGTTAAATAACACAATCCGAAAATACCAAGAAATCAAAGAAGAATTAAGAAGTCAATTAGAAAATACTTTGAGATAAATGAAAACAAACACAACATACCAAAATTTATGGAATACACAGAAAGTAGTACTTAGAAATTTATAGCTGTAAACACCTACATTAAAAAAGAAGGAAGATCTCAACTTAGTATATAACTTTACACCATGAAGAACTAGAAAAAGAACAAAGTAAACCCAAAACTAGCAGGAAGAAGGAAACAATAATGATTAGTATAGAGATAAGCGTAACTGAGAGAAGAAAAACAACAGAGAAAGTCAACTAAACCAAAAGCTGGATTTTTGAATCAATCAACAAAATTGATAAACCTTTAGCTAGACGAGAATACTCAAATTAGTAAATCAGAAATGAATATAGGGACATTACTACTGACCTTACAGAAATAAAAAGCATTATAGAAAATACTAGAAACAGTTCAACCAAAAAACCAAACCCATTGCCATCAAGTTGATTCTGACTCATAGCAACCCTGTAGGGCAGAGTAGAACGGCCCCATAAGGTTTCCAAGGAGCGCCTGGTGGATTCGAACTGCCAACCTTTTGGTTAGCAGCCGAACTCTTAACCACTACACCACCAGGGTTTCCAAGAAACAATTACATGCCAACAAATTAGATAACCTAGATGAAAGGGACGGATTCCCAGACATAAAAACTTCAAGACTGACTCAATAAGTAATAGCAAATACGAATTGACCAATAACAGAGATCAAACTAGAAATCAAAAACTTCCTGATAAAGAAATGTCCAGTACCTGATGACTTTATTAGGGAATTCTACCATACCTTTAAAGAAGTATGAATAGCAATCCCTCTTTAACCCTTTCCCAAAATAGAAGAGGAGAAAACACTTCTTTGTTCATTCTGAGAGGCCAGCATTGCCCTGACACCGAAACCAGACAAAGACTTCATAAGAAAAGAAAATGACAGTCCAGTGTTCCTTTTGAATGGAGATGCAAAAATCCTCAACAGAATAATAAACAGACTCCAGTAATATATTAAAAGATCATATTAAAATAACGAAGCCTGATTTATCACAGGAATATAAGGGTAGTTCAACATATCAAAAATCAAGCAAGGTAATACAGCACATTAATAGAATGAAGGGAAAAAACACATGATCATCTCAATT